GCGAGGTTCCCCGAATCAAATCGAGAACTGAACAGCAGTCCCCCACAGCGCAGCTCCATGGCGGGGCCGGGAAAGCATCCTCCTGCTCCGCTCTGGCCCTGAGAGCTGAAGAAAAAGGGGGGTCGGGTTAGGGAGAGCGAGGGGAAAGGTCAACAATTTTTTTGGGGGGGGAGGTATCTCCAGATAAATGAGCGCTACCCTGAGGGAGTGCCCTGCGAAGTGAGAGGCTCTCTCCCTGCCAGAAAAGACAGGAGTGGCCTTCCAGCCAAGGCCAAGCAGCAGCAGCATCCTGCCCACACTAAGGTTACAACTGACCTAAAAGGACTCCATTTTACTACAGGGCGACTTAACTAGGTTGGGAAATACTACGAAATACTAAACTCGAAGCTTCTTCGCAGCCCGAGGATTAGAGAATATAATCAGAGGGGTCGGACTGCCCAAACCCAGCCCGGATACACATGGCCACCTGGAAAGAGGGGCCCCCACTCGCCAGCAAGGCAGAGCGGAAAGAACCAAGTTTCTAAGTCGCCGTGGGCAGGTCCTGTCTCCTCTCCACTCCTCTGCCCTCGCAGGCACTGGCCAGGCTCTCCGTGTGGCTCCCCGAGCCCTGCCAGGGCCGGCTCTTCCCGTTTGTCATGGCCCTTTGCCTATCATGGAAGAAAACTAGAAACGTGAGGCCTCTGCCAAGCCACCGGGCACTGGGCAGAAGCCACTCGCTCACCTAGAGGGTGCAGCTCAAGTCCACCTGGGGCGCGGTCCGTTTCCACCCTCCTCAGCCTCGCAAGCCCCGCAGTCCCGCTACTCTGGGAGTTGCGGGTGAATAATGGGTGCTGTTAGCACCCCTAAAAAGTGGCCGGTAGAGCCCCACTGGGGGCGGGGGCGGCTTCACCACCCTGGACCCTGAAGGACTGGGACTGCCCTGGCCGGGGTGGGGCTGGAGGCAGGAATGGGGCACCACCGACTCCGGTAGAGGGCGGGCGGGGCCGGGAAAGGAGGCAGAGGTGAGGCCACGGGGTGGGGGTGGGGCCGGGGGCCCGGGCGGAGGGGCGGGGCGGGGTTCCAGAGGCGCTCGGGGCTGAAAAGGGGGCGGCGCCGGGGCGGCCGGGGCCCGCACTCCACGCACAGCCCCTCACCTCTCTCGGGGCCGGCGATCCCGCTCCCTTTCCCGCTAGCGAAGCGCCACCTCGGGCCCCGGCACCCAGGACCCAAACAAAACCTGAGCGCCGCGGTGCCGGGACCCCGCTCTGCCAGGAAACAAGAAGTCTCTCGCCGATTGGCCGCGGGGACAGCTGGCCACCCGCCCAGTAAAGCCCGCTGCCATTGGCCAGTGCGCGGGGTTCCTCGGGCGCGCGGTACCTGAGCCGGTGCCGTTTGGGGCTGACCCGCCCGCCGGGCGGGAGGTTGCGCGAGCGCTTCCTCGGCAGATAGTCAACCGCCGGCCTGCCGGCAGGAGGGGACGAAGGGACCTAGTAGTAAACGGAAAAGACGTTAAAAACCAAGGGGCCATGTGTGAAAGTGATCACCGCCGGCCGCGCTCCTCTGGCTGTTACAGACACTCCACCGGCTCGGCTGGTCTCCCGTCCCCCCGCGGGGAGGGCAAAAAGCTGAGTGGAGGATGCGGGCATCGATCCCGCTACCTCTCGCATGCTAAGCGAGCGCTCTACCATTTGAGCTAATCCCCCGGCTGTGGCTGTCTCCCTTCCAGTTACCTTACAGGTTGTTACAAGATGTCTGCTGACCAATGAAGAACCAGAATTCAGGACATTTATTTAGCACCAGAGTATGATGGAACCATAGGCGAAATTTTAAAAGGTAGAAATAACTACACGTAAGCAATAGTAAAGAAATTAAAACACCTAAAATATCTGCATTTAACCCACAAGAAAGTACTTACACTGTACGTATCCCGACCAGTTTGCATATGTTTTACAGAACATCGGCAGTGCTCAGGAATTCAGTCTGCCTTCGAATAAGCCTCCCCACCGTCCAAGGTGGGTGGAAGTTAAAAAGATTGTACGAAGTCCTTCGAGCCGGAATCGAACCAGCGACCTAAGGATTGCCACGGCTCATCCACTACAGTCCTCCGCTCTACCAACTGAGCTATCGAAGGCCCCGCTGGTGGAGCCGTCCGCAGATTGCCCTCTAATGCTTACGAGGCCTCACTACCCCGGGATCGCGGAGCTTTCCGGAGCCTGGACTCCACTTTCTATAGCAGCTCACAGGGGCCGAGCCCCTCCAGGCTACACGCAACAGAGAAAGGCAGAGACGAGTGAGAGCAAAGGACCCACTTCCCAACCCCGGGCGGAGGAAACGCGGGCAATACACTTCCCTTCCGTTTTCCTGCTTCCCACAAAACAATGCACCCCCTCCCGCCGCCGCTCCCGGTGGCTTCCGTAGGACTGCGGACGCCTGGAGACCCCGCTCGCGTCCCTGACCTTCTGGGCAGCAGGGCCCAGCGGGGCCGGCACCCTCGCACGCTCTGCAATTGCCACGCGCCAGCCCCGTTCGCCCAGCCGACGGCTTGCTTTTGCTCTTTCTGCTCCCCACTCCCCTTCGCTTTGTCCGGGGAAGCCAATAAAACCCTACTGCTCTCCTGGTGGGAAGGACATTCATTCAGTCCATTAACCAACGTGTTGTCGGCTATTCGTCCCGACGAGGGCGAGAAAGATACAAACCGCAGAGCTGCTCGAGGTTTGCAGGGCGGCGCGGGATCCAGCTGCCCCGAAACCCCGCGAGGTGGGACCGGCGGGCGGGGCCCAGGGGGGCCCTGGGCACGGCCACGTCCACCGGCCCCGCCCCTACCCCCGGCTCACACCTTCACTCTTTCCCGGGCTGCAAAGCCAGCCCACGATCCTTTGCCCACCAGGAGCTCCGGGGGTTTAAAAACAAGGAAGCCTGAAAACGGAAACCCAACTCCTGTGTGAATCCTTGCTTGGTCGTCAGATGGGGTGGGTGTGCGGGAAGACCTGACCTCCATTTCCAGCTCTGTGGCCAGCTGCCTGTGCAACCTGGTGATGATTTCAAGCCCCGCACCGCTCCGACATTTTTTGGGTTCTCGGGAGCTGTGCTTTTAAATCCGAGGTCTGATGTCGCTGAGCACAACTCCGCTTTGCAGGATGGTAACATCTTTATTTTAACTGCTCTGTTGCTGCAAATGGTACCATTGTGTCTCCGAGCGTTAGCTTGGGGTGTTTAGCACTCTCTTTGGGGGCGGGGGGTGGGGAGGGAAGACTGGGAAGCAGAACGTATTTATGTTGTTATTTATTTGGGGGAGGCGAAAGTCACATAACAATAAATAACTTTGAAGTATGAACACTTCAGCGGCATTTAATGCATTCACAATGTTGTGCAAATTACCGCCTCTCGCTAGTTTCAAAACTTTTTGTTTAATCACCAGGCTGGGAAGAACACCTCCTACCCTTTTAAGCGATTACTCCCAACCACCATCCCCTGGCAACCACGAATCTGCTTTCTGACTGTATGGACTTGCCCATTCTGGAGATTTCATGGGGGAAAAAATCACAGAACGTGGGACTTTTTGTGTCTCATTTCTTTCACTTATAATGTTTTTGAGACTCATCCAGGTTGTAGCCGGTATTAGTACTTGCTCCCTTTTTATGGTGAACACTATTCCCTTGTATGGATATACCACTTTGTTTATCCGTTCATCTGTTGTGTTTTTGTTTTCCATTCCTGTTTTGATGGACTATTTCCACCTTTTGGCTTTTGTGAATAATGGTTTTATAAACATTCATGAAGAAATTTGTGTGAATATATGCTTTCATTTCTCTTGGTTATGTACCCAAGAGTGGAATTCTGGGTTTTATGGTAACTATAATGTTTAACTCTTTGAAGAATTGTCAAACTGTTCCCATAGTGTCTGAACTACTTTACATTCCCACCAGCAATGTAGGAGGGTTTCAATTTCTCCACATCCTTGTCAGCACTTGTCTTCTGTGTTTTTTATTATAGGCAATATTTCAATAAATTAAGCTCAATTAATTATAAACATTATAGATTCTTTGGAATAATTTGAGAAGCCCTTTGGTTTTACCACAATTTATTTAAATATTCATCTTATTGCCAGACACAGTTTATATCCAAATTTTTATTAATACTGCTACAATAAATGTTCTGAAATATAAATCTTTGTCCATGTTTCGGCTTACTTTTTTATTCTCAAGAATGTATATACTTGTTAATCTTTTATTATTTTTACAGTTTGGAGCCTCACATGATTTTGATAAATAATTCTTTCAGAATTATGCAAAAAGCCAGAATATATTTTTAGGAGTGTAATTACTTGGTAAAACAGTATGAAAGTTTTAAACCTTTTGATAAATAGTATCAAATTACTTCCCAGAAACATTATACCACTTTCTACCGTAGCATTTACTGAGTATATTATCGTAAAAAAAAAAAAAAATTCATCAATGTTATATACAAAAGTAAAGTGATATCTTATTTTAAATCTGCACTTTTTAACCAATGAAATGACTTTTTTCAAGTCTATGGTTCATTTGCATTTATTTTATGAATTGTCTTTTGTCCATATTTTTATTGTGTTTAGCGCTTTCTTGATTTGTGTTCTTTACATTAGGATGTGTGTATGATATGCTCAATAAGGAAATGGAGGCCTTGATCAACACAGCAACTGGACCTGACAGACAAGGACATTCTACCCAACAGCATCAGCACACGTTCTTCCCAAGCACACAGAACATTCTCCAGGAGAGCTCGCCTTAGGCAAGTCTCAACAAATTTAAAAAGATTGAAATAATACCAAGTACGATGAATGTAAACTACAAACTTTGGATGACAGTGATGTGTCGGAGGTTCACTGGCGTTGACAGTGGGAGGCTGTGCAAGTGTACGGGCTGTGTCTTTTTTGGCTCAACTTTAATGTGAATGTAAAACTGCTCTAAAAATAAAGTCCATTAAAAATTTGATAACTGGTATGCTAACACAGTAAAAAAATTACACCAAGGCATATCCAAAAATGTGTCTGAGTTCAGTTATTTTATTCATAGGCAGAATATCCAATATTCAATAAATATTCACTCATACCCTGAACAATGGAAGCTCCCGTCCCCTCAAATTTCTTCTACCTCAAGTGTGGGGCAATGAAAAACACCCAGTAAAATGGAATATCACATGGGGAAAAGCACAGTCCTTTATCCCCTCAAGCGCTTTTGGGAGCAGAACCATGAAGAAAAATTTAAAAAAAGTTAGATCACTTGAAGTGTTCACTTAAATTCAAACTCATTTAGGAGATAAGGCAGCATTAAAATGCTGAGGTCATCCAACCACTGAAATTTCAGTGTAAGTGACAACTGGGTCATTCTGGGCTAGGGCAGGCAAGGCACGTCCTCTCTGTGGGCAACACTTCCCCTCAAGGGTGGGGGCATTTGAGAATAGGCCAGCAGGTGAGACCAGCGTTATCTGCCTGGCAAGATCATCTATCCACAGTAAGTCGGGCTGGTCCATCAAGTTGGCCTGCTCTAAAGCTGTAGACTGGGTACAAATCACCAGAGGAATGTGGAAACAGTTTAAGCTTAGAAAAACGTGTTTCAAATGAGTCTTTTGATCTAATTTGCAGTTCAACACCATTTGTTAATAACTGAAGTTAGTAAGAGATAACCATATTTAAACTGCCCTTCAGCTTTATGGCACGTTATCTATAGAACTCCAGCTGTGTGTGAAAAGTAGTTACCATGTCCAGATGTGACCCTCCGAGGTGTCAGACTCTGTTCTAAGAACACCAACAGTCCCTGCCCACCTGTCAGCACCAGTGTGCTCGCTCCACTAGTCCACACTGGTTCAACTCACTGGCTGTTTGGACTAGTTTGTTGACAGTTCTGCAAAAATGAAACATCTGGATATCTGGTTTAGCATTACTGGCCAGCAGGTGAAACGCTGGCCTACTCCCTTGACACAGGAAAAATTTTTGGCAATTCCAATATTGGGTCAACCAACTACATCTATCAAAGCCAATTCAGGTGTTAGTGTTGAAGGGAAATGTTGCACCCCAAGATTATGTCAGAAATGAAAGGAACCCAGTGTAGTACACACATTAGAAGCCAGTGAAGCACTTGTAAGTAGCATCCTTGCAGTTGCTGGATTGCAAGGACTCAGCCCAGCAGCCTTGGCTGGACTCGAGGACATTGCAGGAGTGTCATCGCTTTGTCCTTTGCTGTTGCCAGTGTAGGATCATACCAGCCCCTTCTACTTGCCATGAATACAGGCCAGTTCCAAAGCGTCACTGTTCCTAAGAACTGAACCCATTTGTTTCTGATTGGTGAGGAAGAATTGAGGAAATAGGACACGTTATGGGACCCTTAGGCAGTCCAGTCCAGCAGCCCTAGACCATTGCTCTTTGCCAGGCAGGGTTTCCAATTTCTGTGAAAAAATGGTCATGGCTATCTGCCACTAGGAGAGCTGGGTTCTGCCCAACGTGGGCTATTTAACTCCCAAGAGGTAACATTCTAACAAGGGAACAAAAATGTGAGTGGGCAGTGCACCTCTGGTACTGCTGGTTTAGAAACATCCAAGAAACTCGAGGTGAGAACTAAAACCCGGTGAGAACTAAAACCCGTGCAGTTATGACAGTCTCAAGTCAAAAATTAAAAGAGACTCTGGTGATAAACCCTTGATCCTGCCTCTTAGAGTTCTAAATCTTTCACTCGCTGCCTTAGAAAACAAACCGATTAATAAGGTCCTGGCAAGGAAGAAGACACCTGATTGCTGGCCAAGAATTCCCCCAGGAGACTCTTCCCTGCATTTCCACGCATACATCACACCAGCCGTCAAGGCAAATCACAAGTGGGACATGAATCACAGTGACAGTGAGACAAGGGGCGCAGGAAGAGGTCCAGAACCCTCCACAGACCCAAGTTTGGGATGGGTGTGGGCTTCCTTAACCAGAAATGCAATTACCGCAGGAGCTACGGCCCTTAGGCGGGCAGGGGGCCCAGGGGAATGTGCAGGCGCCTGTATTTATCCTGTCCACAGCTATGGGAATTCCTATAAGAGGAGGCAGAGAGGAAAGCTAGAAATCAAAGCTGTGTCCTTTATTCCACCTGTAGGCATATCCAGGAGCCATATACTGAAGCCTGTCTCAACCGGCTGCTGGAAGGTTCCCCGGGCCGAGGCACACAACTAACTGGACTCTGCTCCCCCGACAGATGGAGGGGCAGGCGACAGCGGAGGCCCTCCACACCCCCAGCACTGAAGGGGAGTGGTGAGGAGAACGGATCGCGATGGAGGGGGCAGAGAGGGGCTGGAAGGACCTACGCTGGGCATTTTGCGGTGCAGGCTGTGGGCAGAAGTGAAGCTGCTCTTCCCCACTGTGGTGCCATAGACTTCTGGGAGTCCCTTTCCTTTTCCTGCTGTGGTTGAAGTGTGGGAGCAGAAATCATTCATCGAAGAATGCAGAAGCCACTCACTGGAGACCCACCTTTGGGGATGAGGTGTTTGGGGCTTCGGGAGTGAGATGGAAGGCAGGAGGTGAGAGAGGAGGCTAGAGAGGCTACCAGCCCAGGGCAGATGCTGGGAGCTATGTGCGATAGGGCCAGAGAAGTGTTCAGTGGAATCGTGGAGGAGGCTGAGATACCTCTGGGCTCAGTCATCACCAAAAACTGGGGAAGAGACAACTGGCCTAGAGTACAGAACTCAGGCACCAAGTAAAAAAGACCCCATGCAGAACTGCCTCCAGCAGTCTCAGGTGGCCCGTCTCAGACAGAGACGAGTGGCCAAGGAGGCAGGGCCTATTGCTGGGATATCATGGCGAGCGCCCAGTCCAAGAAAGCCGCTGTGATGTCCCGCAGGCAGAGCCAGGTCCAGTGGGCAGCCTCACTGAGCTGTGTCTTCACGCAGTCCCAGGTCACCGGACCTCTGGGAGGAAAGCAGAACATCCGTGGGGCTTGGGAAGTAGTGGTGTACAGCTGTGTCAAGCCACGAGGCTGCAACTCAGACCCACAACCACCTACCAGTGGCCAAGGGATGAGCAAGGGGCAGGGCAGAGAGCCTGAACAGGGAAGCCTTGTCCCTGGAAAAAGGGCGTGGGGGCCACTGGGGCTCCTGCTGGGGCCCTGGCTGAGGGTCTCACCTGCACACCTGGTGGCAGTGCTGCTGGGCCTGGGCCAGGGCCTCAAGCAGCAGGTGCCACACTGGCAACAGCACACTGTGGTACAGCAGCAGGAGCAGCTCCCTCAGAGAATGGAGCAGCTGTATCAGGACATCAGGGAGCTGGATTTGGAGCACAGAGAATGCATGGGGTTAGGGTGCTCCCGGAATGCATCCTGGCCCCGAGGACCCAGTCCATGTGGGGCTGCACCTTCCCAAGAACTCAGCTGCTGGGGAGACCAGCCCGTCTCTGGCTTACCCTCTGGGAGAGGCTGGCGAGGCTGTCACCGAAACAGACAAGGTGGGAGGCACCGTGGGCAGAAAGGAAGCTGACTGTGGCATTGACGTGGGTCCAGGCGAGCTGCACGCTGGGCCTCACGACAGTCAGCAGGTGAGAGCCCCAGGCCGGCAGCGTGTCCTCTAGCCAGCTGCAATGACAGGAGAGAGGAGGGCTGAGTTTCCTCAGGTAGCTCGGCTCCCCAGAGCTGGGGAGGGAGGCCTTGGAAAAGGAAAACCACCCTTGCTTCCCACTGACTGTCAATGCCATCACCACCCTGAGCACCCATCCATCTCTCCCCCCTCCCTGCGAGGTGCTCACCTGTAGCCTTGCAGGCTGTAGGAGTAGATCTTGGCACATGCTTTTTGGCCAGCAGGCAAGAAACCAGATGATTGAAGCAACCGGCCAGAAAAGGAGTCTGAGTAAAGGGGGTCTCTGTGAGCTGGGAGGTGGGGGGCAGGGAGTGGGCAGACACTTCAGGCTCCCGAGCAGGCCCAGTGAGGGATGGGGTCGGCCTTCGTGTGTTCACAGGGCTTCCACTGACCAGCTGTGATCTTACAGTAACTGATAAATCTTTCTGAGCCTCAATTTACTCAAAAATCAAAAAGGAGATAACACCTACTTAAAGGAGACCATGAACACGCGAGCCCTTCTACTCTGCAAAGCACTGGCCCAATCTGGTGGTAATGTCACAGCTGTGGACACAGCCATCTGTCTGAAAGTGTTTGTTCTGCAGCATCAGCGCAGAGCTGTGTACTGGGACAAGGGTGCTACAGCTAGCTCTATGCCCCACCCCATGCTACCTGCCTTGCCCGCCAATCCCTGCTTACCCTGGAAGGAGCTGTGTGACCGGAAGTCGTGGCACAGGACACCTATGGCAAAGATCAGCACCAACAGGAGTAGCCGTGTCCAGGGCAGCCGGAACCCCCGAGCCTGCTGCAGCAGCCCCTAGGAGGAAAGGGGGTAGGAGCTGTGGTGAGAAGGGAGATGGGGCTGGTCTTGCCTCCTAAGGCAGACCTCAAGCCAGACCTTCCAGGGAGAGGGCCAAGCCCTCCCCATACCCGAGGCAGTGGGGGCTCCAGGGACAGGTGGGGCAGGAATGTGGTACAGGCCCAACCAGGGTGTGCCGAGACAGATGCAGAGCAGTGTGTGGGTTGGGGAGGACCGGGTGCTGACACCTTGCAGGCTTTGTCACAGGTGACGACATCCTGGTTATTACAGCTGCCTTTCCTTAGCAGCTCCTGGTTGGTAAGCTTGAAGGATTCAATGGTTTCTTGCAAAGACTTCTGTGCCTATAGGATAAGAAACATCTGGGTTGAGAGCATAAGCTTTGGCCCGTGAGGGAACCCTCCACCATGCTTCATTTTCCAGGCCAAATGTACTAGCAGAACGCCTTCTCAGGGAAGGGGGACAGTGGCTGGGGGTACGAACCCAGAACCCAGACGAGGCTCAGCCTGCCATGTCCTTCCAGCTCCTCACCTTCTTGGGAATCTGCTCCCAGGACCTGAGCAAATGCTTCAGCAGCAGGCTGTGGGGAAAACACAACCCCTTCCAATCAGGGGGCCCACTTGGCCCTTCCCATCCTCCATTAGGCCCCTGGCTGCCTCTGGCTGAAGACTGCACCCCCACCAGCACAGGAACTGCTTCCCAAGAGCCACATGCGATGTTCCCACTCAACTTGGAGGCATGAGCCCCAACAACAGTAACAAATGTTCCCCTTCTGCTTCTAGGACAGGGACAGGCTGGGAGGCACGAACTAAGGCTCTCCTGTATGGGTGAGAGGTAGGTGACATCCCCCCCCCCCCCCACCTGCCTGGATTGTGACAGGTGCTTGGGGTATAGCTGCCTCCAGACACTGGCACTGAGGGGGTCCACCGTCAGGCATTCGGTCAGGCTGCTCAGGAGCTGCACAGGAGACAGGAGAGAGGGAGAGAGACCGCTGGGCATGGGGCTGGTGGAGGGGAGAGAGCTGAGAAGTAATCCCCTTCCCTAAGCGAGACCATGCAGGCAACACATCCACCCTAAAGGGTGGACAAATCGTGCCAGACCCCAGAAATCTCAGAGGCTGTAAAGGGGAGGCTGGGGTCCTGAGCTAGACCTTGACCTCAAAGGTCACTCATCTGCGAGGGGGAAGACTTCAGAGACCAGCCAGACCTGAACGTGCTGCCCTTCCAGCTCTGTTCTGAGGGTAGAACATGACAGAGTGGGCAGGAGGCTGTCAGGAGTGAGCTAAGGGACATTCAGGAAACGGGTCTGTGAAGAAGGGCCTTGGTCTGCAGACAGGGACCCCTGCAGCTGACCCCTGGAAGGGAAAAAGCAGCCTCCCACCATTTCCTCACCTCTTTCCTCATCTTAGGAGGGCAGTCAGGGGTGGCTCTGGACAGGAAGGAGGGGAAGTAGGTATGCAGGGTGGCTTCCGGCTTGGCCCCAAATGCCAGCACCTTCAATCGGGGGTAGAGCTGACACAGCTGCTCCTGCAGGCTGGGGTGGGGGTGGGGGTGGGGAGGAGAGCCAGGCACAGGCTCTAAAGGGAGCTGTGCATTGTGTCCCTTTTGCCTGCCCCAGAGTCCACACCCTACCCGAGGATGCGAGTCTCAGAACCTTGTAATCTGCTGGAAAATCTGCTGCAAGTCACAGATCCTCTCCCCAGGAAAATGCCCACATGCCAATCACACTCAAGGGTCCATAAAATTTCAGGGCGTTTACTGATCCCTTGAACTTGTAGGTTGAGAATCTTAGATTTAGGGTGGCTGAGGAAGGGACAGGAATATATTGCCTGCTTCTGACCCCCTGCTGGGATCCTTCACAGCAGTTAAGTCCCAGGGTGGCCCTACCTGGGTGTCAGGGAGTTGTTGGGCATATAGGCAAAGTCCAAAAGTGGGAAGAGGTCCTTGGGGCCAATCATGCCAAAGCCCTTGGTGAGGTTGGGGTGCATCCTGTGGGGGGAAGAAAGGCTTGTTGGGGACCACCACCTAGTCTGTGATCCCAGCTAAGACCAAGAGCTAGGAAAAAGGGCATAGACTCTACCCCACACCTCACCCCTTAATGGTTCCCTCCCCTTCCTTCTTCACCATCACATTCTGAGCTGGGAGGAGCTGGTCCTGGTCTCTATGGAGACCAGGATCCCAGCATCTCATTTTACTAAAATAGCCACTTGGAGACTGCTGGCCCCCCCCCCCCCCCATCTCCCCTTTACTCACAGGAGCAGCCTGTCCAGGTATGCGATGGCGAAGGGGGACAAGGACTTAATGCCCAGCACAGGCAGCATGATCCCCAGCCACACTGTGGAGACAAAGGTCAGGGAGGAGGCCTCAGGCTCAGACCCACTGGACATTACAGAGAAGTTCCTGGCTCCAGGACCACCCCCCTTCCCCACTGCCTTGTTACCTTTCAGTCCCTCGGTGAGGTTGGCAAAACCTGCTTGGCCCAGGGCCCACATGATGGTCAGACACTTTGCTGGTCGATTCTGGTGGGATCTCAGCAGTTCCAAGAACTGAGGAGCCAAGTAAGAGAGGCAGGCTGGGGTGGGGCAAAGCATCCGAAGCACCCCCAAAACGAGGCAGGAAGAGCTGCCAACGGGGCCAGTGGGGCACCGTGGTAGTGTGGTGCAGTGACTCAGAGCGTGGGCTCTGGCACCGGACTGTGGCCTTCACCCATACTTGCCACTTACTGGTTGACTGACTCTAGGAAAGTTACTGACTCCCTCTGTGGCTCAATTTCTCATCTATAAAAGGAGAATAACAGCAGTACTTGCCTTGTGTGTATGTGTGTGTGTATATATATCAGACACACAGTAAGTGCTAATAGTGTCAGCTATCATGACTGGTCTTACAGGGTCTTCTGCTAGCCCTTGACTGGATCCAAGCCCTTGACTGGATCCAACAGGGTAGATTCTGCCCGACCGCCCCAGTCCTAGCCTCCTGGTGTTCCTACCACCGTCCTGAGCTCACCTTGCCCAGGTTCGTGGTGGCGATCTTGGGCTTGTCTTGCAGAATGGCCTGGATACAGATACGGTAGCCATGGAGCGACTCCCCTGGAGAGACACATGCTCTTAGACCCACACATAGGAACAGACACCCAACGCCTGAAATCTCCCTACTGGCAGCTGTAAGCCCAGAGCTCAGGCCAACAAGTCCTAACTTCCTCCTCCCTTTCCCCAAGTGTCAGGATTAGCATGTTTCTCTACTGGAAACAACCCAGCCATTTTTGAAGCAAGAAGAAAGGAAACAGGCCCCCAAGATCGGGCTGGCTCCCCCTCACGGTCCCTCACCTGGTGTCTTGTCCAGCTCTTGCAGCATGGTGAACAGACAGTGGTCAAAAAAGAGCTCCAGGGACCCCGCCGCCTTTGCCAGCAGCCCTCGGATGATCCCACGCAGCTCGCGGCTCACCAGGCTATAGGGGTAATCTGGGCAATAGGCCTCCACGTGAGCGCTGGGACCAGAAGCCTCTGCCAGCTGTGCTCCGAGGCCGGTGAGTGGAGCCGAGGTCCACACGGAGGCTGGCACCCTCCCTACCCCAATAAGGCCCAGACACGTTCACACCACGATGGTTTGAGAACAGCTCCGCCCATGGAAATCAGTGCGGTGGGGAGCACTGGGGTCTGTTACTAAGCAATGGGCTTACACACAGCCATTTCAGAATTTTCTCGAACTTGTCTGAGCTTGAGGGAGCCGAGAGAACTAACCGTGAGTGTGCTGGCTTAGCGTGGGCTCACTGAGAGGGGCTTGGAGCTTGTAGTTGAGATAGCTGGCCAGGTCCTTCAGCCACACGGACGGGTTCCCAGAGAACACGCTCTGGCTCTTGTCCAGTTCCTTCTGCAGAGCTGCCACGTCCAGCTGCCAGGGACACAGGCCCCACATGGTCAGTTGCGGGAGGAGGAACAAAGGGTTTCTGCTTTTCAACATAAGGATGTGGAGCGCCACAATTCTGCTGCATCCAGATCTTTAGAGAGTTTAGGAAAACTGGAACCGCTGACCCCCAGGACCAGTACTCGCAGGCCCTTCACATGTTCAAAGGGAAAAAACAAAAGGCAAGAAGCTCCCGGGGGCGAGGAAACAAAAGCAGTTTCTCTAACCTTCCCTCGCGTCTCTGGGCGTCCAGGCTCCCTTCTCACTAATCCATGTTTCCCTCCAAGCCTCTCATGTCCTTCTTATCCTGAGAGCAGTAATTCTATCTACAATCTAAGTCCCCTTTGCTATGCAACCTAACACATTGGCAGGTTCTGGGAATGATGTGGGCATCTTTGGGGGAGGCATTCTTCCGCCTACCACACCTACTTTAATTGATGGGGTTTCTGTCCTTCCCCGAATGCCTCCTCTCAGCCAACAGCGTCCCATCAGCTATCAGCTGCCCGTCCTCCTCCCCCCTTTTCGTCTCCTCCACACCTCAAGTCCCCCCTCTCCCCCCACCCAAGGCGAGGCGCACTCACAGCCTTCAGTGCTCCTTCCGGCTGCGGGAGCCGCCCCGCCTTCGGTTCTGGTTGGTGAGGGTCGCCCCCTTCTTGGTCCGCTTTTTGGTGGCCGGTTTCTTTGGCTTCAAAAGGGGGGGTGGAACCCTGTCCTTATTCTTCTTCTTCCTGATTTTCTCAAAGCCCCGCCCCTAAAGGGTGCTGGTCGTCCGGATGGGAGCTGAGGTGGTGACAGGCAGAGAAAGAGGGGCCACCCTCGGGTCAGGAGGGCCCCACGGGAACAGGGGTCCCTTCTCCCACCTGGCACCTGATTCACCTCCAGGGAGGAGCTGCCGCAAAGCCCCTCCCTGCTGTCCTGCTGAGGGAGCAGGCCAGGGAGCCTTCCCGCTGCTCCTTGCAGCCACCACAACGGGCTCCTGAGCCTTCCCGCAGAGATGAGGCATCTGCTACTAAGTCG